GCAGGTCACGAAAGCTTCAAATCAAGAATACGGGGTTATAAACCGTGTGGGTTTGACGGCTCTGTGTACGGTGCTGTTTCGGCTATGCATGCGCGCCCTCTGTTGTTGACTGAGTCATGTGGCCCTCGCACGCCCAAGCAGCTTAAACGGGCGGCGGGCACTGGCGGGACGGGAGGCACAGGAGGTGGAGGATGTGGAGGAGCTGGGTAGACTTGCCCCATGGATGGTTATGACCGGCGGCGTCAATATAATCGGCCTCTCTCTGTTGGGGGAGGAGGGGAGGAGGCTCGTAAAGGACGCTGATACTCGGAGGTTGGAGGCAGTCGCCCTCCGGCAACGACGGAGGACGGAGAAGCGACGCTCACAACAAATGTGCGGAGCGCCGGGCGGATAAAATAGTGAGTTGGCACAGTTGGGGGGAGGGGGGCATCGGTGGTGCAGTCAACCCATGGCACCACCTGGGTATGCCCCGTGACCTCCTGCTGCACATAGCCTGGCACAGTAGTCAACCAATGGCACCACCTGGAGTCTGTCCCGTGACCTCCTGCTGCATATAGCCTGGCACAGCAGTCAACCAATGGCACCACCTGGGTCTGCCCCGTGACCTCCTCCTCCTGCACCTAGCCTGGCACAGCAGTCAACCCATGGCACCACCTGGGTATGCCCCGTGACCTCCTCCTGCACCTAGCCTGGCACAGCAGTCAACCCATGGCACCACCTGGGGTCTGTCCCGTGACCTCCTGCTGCACCTAGCCTGGCACAGCAGTCAACCAATGGCACCACCTGGGTCTGCCCCGTGACCTCCTCCTCCTGCACCTAGCCTGGCACAGCAGTCAACCCATGGCACTACCTGGGTATGCCCCGTGACCTCCTCCTCCTGCACCTAGCCTGGCACAGCAGTCAACCCATGGCACCACCTGGGGTCTGTCCCGTGACCTCCTGCTGCACCTAGCCTGGCACAGCAGTCAACCAATGGCACCACCTGGGTCTGCCCCGTGACCTCCTCCTCCTCCTGCACCTAGCCTGGCACAGCAGTCAACCCATGGCACCACCTGGGTATGCCCCGTGACCTCCTCCTCCTGCACCTAGCCTGGCACAGCAGTCAACCCATGGCACCACCTGGGGTCTGTCCCGTGACCTCCTGCTGCACCTAGCCTGGCACAGCAGTCAACCAATGCACCACCTGGGTCTGCCCCGTGACCTCCTCCTCCTGCACCTAGCCTGGCACAGCAGTCAACCCATGGCACCACCTGGGTATGCCCCGTGACCTCCTCCTCCTGCACCTAGCCTGGCACAGCAGTCAACCCATGGCACCACCTGGGGTCTGTCCCGTGACCTCCTGCTGCACCTAGCCTGGCACAGCAGTCAACCAATGGCACCACCTGGGTCTGCCCCGTGACCTCCTCCTCCTGCACCTAGCCTGGCACAGCAGTCAACCCATGGCACCACCTGGGTATGCCCCGTGACCTCCTCCTCCTGCACCTAGCCTGGCACAGCAGTCAACCCATGGCACCACCTGGGTATGCCCCGTGACCTCCTCCTCCTGCACCTAGCCTGGCACAGCAGTCAACCCATGGCACCACCTGGAGTCTGTCCCGTGACCTCCTGCTGCAACTAGCCTGGCACAGCAGTTAACCAATGGCACCACCTGGGTCTGCCCCGTGACCTCCTCCTCCTGCACCTAGCCTGGCACAGCAGTCAACCCATGGCACCACCTGGGGTCTGTCCAGTAACCTCCTCCTCCTGCACCTAGCCTGGCACAGCAGTGAACCCATGGCACCACCTGGGTATGCCCCGTGACCTCCTCCTCCTGCACCTAGCCTGGCACAGCAGTCAACCCATGGCACCACCTGGGGTCTGTCCCGTGACCTCCTGCTGCACATAGCCTGGCACAGCAGTTAACCCATGGCACCACCTGGGGTCTGTCCAGTGACCTCCTCCTCCTGCACCTAGCCTGGCACAGCAGTCAACCAATGGCACCACCTGGGTCTGCCCCGTGACCTCCTCCTCCTGCACATAGCCTGGCACAGCAGTCAACCCATGGCACCACCTGGGTATGCCCCGTGACCTCCTCCTCCTGCACCTAGCCTGGCACAGCAGTCAACCCATGGCACCACCTGGGGTCTGTCCCGTGACCTCCTGCTGCACCTAGCCTGGCACAGCAGTTAACCCATGGCACCACCTGGAGTCTGTCCAGTGACCTCCTCCTCCTGCACCTAGCCTGGCACAGCAGTCAACCAATGGCACCACCTGGGTCTGCCCCGTGACCTCCTCCTCCTGCACCTAGCCTGGCACAGCAGTCAACCCATGGCACCACCTGGGGTCTGTCCAGTGACCTCCTCCTCCTGCACCTAGCCTGGCACAGCAGTCAACCCATGGCACCACCTGGGTCTGCGCCGTGACCTTCTACCAGCAGCGCGTCTTCGACACTTCACGTGACGGCCTCAAAGTGAACCTAGCCTGGCACAAGCGCCGTGATCACCATCACTTAGCGGCGAATGTGGCCTTAAGCGAGCAGTGTAGTATATGGTGCATGAGTGTGTAAACATCAGCACCGGGGAGACAAAGGTAGCTACCCAGTAAACACCGAACGTTGATTCAACGTTGGCCGAGGCGGGGTGCTCCAGGGGTAGGGGGAGGTGGGGGTGAGGGAGGCGTCGCTAAGCAACGGGTCCTTCCACTCCTAGTAAACTAATTATTCGATGCTGCTGCTGCTGCAACGTTGCCATTGGTGCACAGAAGCAATAATATATAACAACAAACTCTACACACCCGTCAGACACGCTGCGTGACCTTAAACAATAAATGAATATGAAAGGCAACTTTTCTTGTGATTTCCCTTGTTAAACAGAACGTAAACATTTAACGTGCTCGCGTCCGTGCTGTTATTTAAAAACAAAAACATCCTTTGAAGGCCACGGTGCTGTTATCGAGGAACAGAGTTAGGGGCCGTCCATAAATGACGTCACAAAGCTCTGCCCCCCCCCCCAAAAAAATGCTTAAAGTCGCTTTAAACTATTGTCATTGTAGTGCGTATTTAATGTGGCGCTGCACTCTGATGTTGTAGGAGAAAACATTTATTAAAAAGTCTATTTAATTAAGTTAGAACGTGTTGTCTGTATTTATTAAAAGTTGCGCATTTTGATGTGACGTCACATTTCTCAAACCCCCCCTCCCTCTCCTCGTCACACATCGTCACAAATGTCTGACCCCCCCCACCCAGGTGCGTGACGTCATTTATGGACGGCCCCTTATCGATGAACAGAGTTGGCCACTTGTTGATTGTGCTTCTGCATGGCTGCCCAAACACAGCCCCCGCCCTCTCACAACTTAACCCCGCCTACTTTCTATTTAGCTCCGCCCTTTAATCGCTTAGCCCCGCCTATTCTGCCCTTAACCCCGTCCTCTCGCGCATAACCCCGCCTACTCTGCCATTAGCTCCGCCCTATAATCGGTCCGCCCCGCTTCCCCTCCCCATAGCCCCGCCCTCTCACGTGTAGCCCCGCCTACTCTCCCCTTAGTTCCGCCCTCTAATCGATTATACTGTGTAACAAAAAAATATAAAATAAATTCCTGGGTAGTAAGTGTTATTTCCTAATTGCTAATGCCTCTAAAGTATTAGAAAATGGCTATTATTGCCCACAAACGTTGCTTTTGTGACCAGGACAGTGATAGTTTAACACGTAGGCTTTCGCGACCAATATTATTCATAATAAAGGTTTTTGGGTTGGATCGCGTTTATTTATAAATGTGTCGTAACCCTCCACCACCCGACACGGCCAATCAGCAAAAAAAGTGTCACGTTGACAAAAAGACAAATAGTTCACTACTTTAGCCCACCGGTGTGTTGAAGAGTGAATCCACATTTACAGTTTGAGTACGACGTTTCGCTGGTAAATACATCCAGCATCATCGGGCAATTCGCCAGAATGGTAAAGCCCTCACAGCAGCAGGGTGACGTCATCACTTAACTCATATCAGGTGCAGTGATTAGAGGCGGAGGGGGGGGTATTGTAATTATATAATCGATTAGTAATCAGTCATTGGTTATGATTAGTAATGAGTTGTAGATTAGTAATTCTTTAAATCAAAATGTAATGTGTATTATTTAATAATACTGGCAAAGACTAATTAGAGAATCCATTGAAATTGAGAGGAACAAGAATAACTTTAATCGCTCTGACAGCTACAGGCTTAGTGCGGCCTGGAAGCGTCATGATTTTTTGTTATTTTATTTTCACCTACGTGACTTTACCCAATAGAATTAAATAAAAAATAGTTTACATTTTGATTTAAAGCTTTCGTGACTGCAGTAATTCATATTCTTAGCTCTTTCGGTAAAGTCACGTTGAAGGGAAACAATAAAATAATAAACTATAAAAGGGAAACAATAAAATAATACAATATATGTTATATTTCTTATATATTTTATAACTTTATTATTTTATTATTTTATTGTTTCCCTTCAACGTGACTTTATTGTTTCCCTTCAACGTGACTTTACCGAAAGAACTAAGGATGCAATGACAATAGTTTAAAGCCATTTGAAGCATGTAAAAAAAAATTGGGGGGGGGGGGGCAGAGCTTTGTGACGTCATATTTGAGGGGGGTCTGAGTTTTTGTGACGCCGTGTGACGAAAGGGGGGGGTCAAAAAATCGTCCAAAATCGCGTGACATCATTTATGGACGGCCCCTTACGTGGACGCTTGTGTCGAGGTTGCTTCTGAAAAAAATAAAGTTAATACCTCGGTGGGCTTTGTCTGCGTTAGGATGGCGATGGTTCAGTTTCATTTGTATGTTTGTTGTTGTAACGTTCTTACCCGCCCCGACTGGACGTCTGTGAAAAAGAGCTTCATAGCTCATCGGATTCCTCCAGCAGTAAAACATTTAACGATGAAATCTACATTTAATTATTCTGGTTCTAAATAGGCTCGTAGCCCCCGCCCCCCTCTCGTCACTTAACCCCGCCTTATCTACGTTAACCGCGCCCTCTTTCACTAGCCCCGCCCTTTATTATAATGTAGCCCCGCCCACCGGCCCTCTTCGAACGTCCCCCAGCTTGGCCGCGCCTCGGCCCCCGACCGCTCCCCGAGTCTCCCCAAGGCCGCGCGGTTTGCGGCTCCCTCGGCTCCCTCCGCTTCCACCACCACCACCACCCCAGCCCGCCCGGGGTCTCCCGCAACCACCACCCCCCCCAGCCTCCACCGCCCTCAGTGCGGGTGCCAGATGCGAAGAGGCGGCGGCGGAGGAGGAGGAGGCGGCTCTCGAGTCCTCGGGAGAAGCAGCGCGGCGGCCAGGTGAGCGCCCACACCGGGATGCGGATGAGGAGCGAGGCCTCCTTCCCCGCAGGGCTCGGCCTGACGAGGTGGAGACTCCACTCTCAGTCTTCACTCCTCGATTCACCTCATCTCCTTGTACTTCTCCACCCGTGAGCTGGGCGCTCACGACGACGACTACTAACTACTACTGTGTTACTTACTGTACTTGCCCTCCACCAACCACGCTCGCTTTACCTCGCCGCAAGCTCCTCCGTGCCGCGTGTTTTATCGATCCTTACGAGGTGAGGAGAATCTTCCCTCCCCCCTCCCTCCCTTCTTCGTCTTCCTCTCATACCTCCACTCTTCTCTCCACCTCTTTCACGACCTCTCCCGTCAGGGGCTGCTCGGCCTGACGAGGTCGTGGGTCCCCCAACTCTCCCCGCACGCTTTTCCGCGTGAGCTGGGGGCACTCGCGAGGCGGGAGGCTGCGATCTCTCCTCCTCTTTACCTCTCTTCAAACCCTCCTCATTCGTCATCTCCACCCGCTCTCCTCACGTGAATCTCGTCTGACGATGTGTCCCTGACGAGGTTAAAGTTATCCACGCTCCTTCCTATATCTTCCCCCCTCCTGGCCACCGTTCTCCGCCCTCCTATTCCACGTGGACCGTACCCTGACGACGTGAAGTCTACAACACCTCACCTCGTCTCCCCTCACCTCCCCTCACCTCGTTTTCCCTCACCTCGCCTCCCCTCGTCTTCCCCTCACCTCGCCTTCCCTCACCTCCCCTCACCTCGCCTTCCCTCACCTCCCCTCACCTCGCCTCCCCTCACCTCGCCTTCCCTCACCTCGTCTTCCATCACCTCGCCTTCCCTCGTCTTCCCTCACCTCGCCTCCCCTCACCTCGTCTTCCCCTCACCTCGCCTTCCCTCACCTCCCCTCACCTCGTTTTCCCTCACCTCGCCTTCCCTCACCTCCCCTTCCCTCACCTCCCCTCACCTCGTCTTCCCCTCACCTCGCCTTCCCTCACCTCCCCTCACCTCGTTTTCCCTCACCTCGCCTTCCCTCGCCTCGCCTTCCCTCACCTCGCCTTCCCTCGCCTCCCCTCACCTCGTCTTCCCTCACCTCGCCTTCCCTCACCTCGCCTTCCCTCGCCTCGTCTTCCCTCACCTCGTCTTCTCCCGTTACCCCTGTAACCTCATCCCTAGTTCTGACTGGAGCTACTACTACAAGCGAGGGTGTTCGAGGCGGTGTTTGCGTGGTGTTGGCCACCCACCCCCTCGTGTGCCACAGTGCCGGTAGCCTTCATAGGTGCTACTCGCAAACAGCACTTGCCCCAACAGTCTGTTACAGGCTACACGGGGGATCTTTATCTTTGGTGCAGTGTGGGCGGTTGTGATGTAGTGGAGGTGGTTGTGGTGTTATAGTGGAGGTGGTTGTGGTGTTGTAGTGGAGGTGGTTGTGGTGTTGTAGTGGAGGTGGTTGTGGAGGTGGTTGTGGAGGTGGTTGTGGAGGTGGTTGTGGAGGTGGTTGTGGTGTTATAGTGGAGGTGGTGTTGTAGTGGAGGTGGTTGTGGTGTTGTGGTGGAGGTGGTTGTGGAGGTGGTTGTGGTGTTATAGTGGAGGTGGTTGTGGTGTTGTAGTGGAGGTGGTTGTGGAGGTGGTTGTGGTGTAGTGGAGGTGGTTGTGGTGTAGTGGATGTGGTTGTACTGTGTAGTGTATAGTCGATGATGGTGGTGTTGTGGTGATTGTGCTTCGTAGTCTCGGTGTTGGGAGTGCGTGTGACGGTGCAGGAGATGGCTGTGGTAAATGCTGTGGGTTCGTAGTTCGTTTCCAGCGTGTGGGATGTTTGTTTGTAGTTTTGCACATGTTTATAATCATGTTGATTCTATGTTTAAGACGGAGCTTGTGTGTGGCCTGTGTGATGCTCTTGTGGTATTGATTCAGTTGATTGTTTTTCACATGCACATTACATACCTTGGGTCAATAATATGATAAACCTTCGTCAATTGTAGGAAAATCTTCGTAAGGTGGATTATAATATGCATATGTCAACTCACACGGTTTGCCCCTATTCTTGTGCAGGGAAGTTGGGTTTTTAGGTCCATTCGGCGTTCAGCCGTTTCACAAAACGGGCAACAAACAATTGTGTTTGTCCCTTGTGATGGGACTTTGTAGGATGAACGTTGAGATGTATAAGTGGCACGGGGTGATCAATAAGGTCTCAACTGGTCTGTAATAAGGTAGGGCACTGATAAGGGGTTAACAGGTATGAATATACGTATATTTTTTAACGTTTTGATTGCTTAACGCGTTTAAAATGTTTAGCGCGCGACTGGTTCTGTCTTGCAACCCTTGTATTTTACTCCCTTGTACAAAAAAAAAGAAGGGCTTTATGATCGCGGTTATGTGATTGTGGTTGTTACTGTGGTGGTGAGTTAATCATGGCTCTGAGACGAGAGTGCCGAGTGACTGGTACCGTCTGGGTTCTAGGTGTAAAGTACCGCGCCTACGCTTTGGGCGTGGCGGTAGTTGCACACTTTGTCTGCTACTGGTTGCAATGGGTGGTTATTTTGGACCTGGTAGTTATGCATCTTTGCAACGAATTTCATGACCAAGGGGCAGGGAAAGACGTACGAGCAGAATGTTTGGTCAAGGCAGTTCTATGGGTCGCTGTGCTGGGTCAGTGGGTCGCTGTGCTGGGTCTGTGGGTCGCTGTGCTGGGTCTGTGGGTCGCTGTGCGGGTCTGTGGGTCGCTGTGCGGATCTGTGGGTGGCTGTGCTGGGTCTGTGGGTCGCTGTGCTGGGTCTGTGGGTCGCTGTGCTGGGTCTGTGGGTCGCTGTGCGGGTCTGTGGGTCGCTGTGCGGATCTGTGGGTCGCTGTGCTGGGTCTGTGGGTCGCTGTGCGGGTCTGTGGGTCGCTGTGCGGGTCTGTGGGTCGCTGTGCGGGTCTGTGGGTCGCTGTGCGGATCTGTGGGTCGCTGTGCTGGGTCTGTGGGTCGCTGTGCTGGGTCTGTGGGTCGCTGTGCCTGGGTCTGTGGGTCGCTGTGCGGATCTGTGGGTCGCTGTGCGGATCTGTGGGTCGCTGTGCGGATCTGTGGGTCGCTGTGCGCATCTGTGGGTCGCTGTGCGGATCTATGGTTCGGTGTTGCAGGTCTATGGGTGGCTGTGCTGGTCTTTGGGAGTTTTGGCAGTGTGAGTTTCACGACCTCAGTGCGAGTCTACCCGAAGACCAAGTCACGGGAGACCGTCAGATCTTGGAGGTCTCATCTTTCCACTGTGCAGGGGCATCTTTCGGATCTGGCGGAGGGTAGAGCTCTTTGGCATTGAGTAGTGGTGGCGGCGGCGGGTTGTGTGTGATAGCCATGACGTCTTCATCCTTGATCTTTAAAATAAAAACCGACCAGGTATCTCATGGGAAGGTTGCGAGTTCAAATATCCTGGTCGTGATGATGTCTTCAGTGGTTACAGGTTATGATACATTCATTTCGTGTCAGTCTTGCCAACTTGTATGTTGAACGTCCTTCGCACCGTGCTAATCGGAGGTGCGCGGGATGGACTACAAGCTAAACAACAAAAATGGCAGTTCTAAAGAAATTAGTTTTCCACCATTTGTGGGGGTTACAAGCACCCCCCCCCCCACCGCGCCTAAATCATCATCATCATCAGCAGTGCATAGCTCCTCGAGCAGGCGCCACTGATGAGCGAGGGGAGGCATCGCGCGCTCTTCACCTGTGACGCGGCTCGCGTCCTATGTCCCGGTCGAGATGGCTCCCACTCGCTGAAGGGCCTGGCCTACAGTTGGGGCCGGCACCTGTACAGAGGCGGGTTGGGGCATCGGCCGTATCAGCCCTGCGCTTCTTCGTTCGTTTTGCAATCCGCTTGTCCTGGTGAGGGTCGCGCCAACCCCCCCTCCGCCCCCAACCTGCGCTTCTGTTGATACTTTTTAGAGCTTTCACTTGTGGCCAGTTTGCTTCCGAAAATGAGGTTAATACCTCGGTGGGCTTTGCCTAGTAGGATGGGGATGGTTTTATTTCTATTTACATGTTTTTTTGGGTGATGTGTTCGCCTTTTCCTGTACTTTGCACTACTACCGTGTGTTTGTACTGTTGTCGTAACGTTCTTACCCGCCCCTGCTGGACATAAGTGAAAAAGAGCTTCATAGCTCATCGGATTCGTCCAGTATATATAAAAAAAAATCTGATTCTGATACTATGCTGGTAAGTGCCAGGTGATGAATGCTTAATTAGACCCAGGACCAGTGCAGTTGTTCAGAAATTACCGTAGTTCGCCACTGATGTCAGCTCCACGTTGTAGGACTGCAAAACGTTCAGCGTTGACTTAGGACCGCCAGTGGATATTCACATCGATTCTGATATGAGCAGCTCACGATGCTGCTCGCAGTCGTGCGTTCCACAGTTGGAACCACGTGCTCTCCGGAGAGGTCACGTGGTGGCGGCGGCGGCAGCGGTGGCGTGACGAAGGAAACATTAGACGGTGGGGATGGACACGACGAGCTCCATTGCAAGATGGAACGTAGTAATAACGTGGCCTCTGCCGGTATGACATCGGCCCGCGAAGGAAGGGCAAAGGTGGAGGGAGTTGACAGCTGAGACATCGGTGGTGCCCTCAAGACCATGTGGTCAATGGATAGATAATGATGAGCGTTGTGGTTGTTAGTGGATTTTGTCCTCAAGCTGCTGGGTGTACCACCTGTCAGGCTGGGTAGGTGAGTAGCTAGGTGCACCGTCTGGGCGGGTAGATATGGGTTGGCTGTGCTCGTTGCTGGTGGTTAATGTTTGCTATCTTTGTTTAGTTAAACATTTATTTACATTCTTTACGTCACTTACGGCTGCAAGTTTAACCCCCCCTCCCTTACGCGTATGTGTGTGTGTCCTGTATAGGGGGAGCGGTAGTGTAGCGGTTAGCGCGCTGCGCTACGAACCTGGCGACCCGAGTTCGATTTCTGCTCATGGTCACCATCAGTGACGATTAACTGCACTGGTCCTGGGCCTCCCTTAGGTCGACTCAGCCTCAAATGAG